CTTAGAATTGGTATGGTATTTGGGAAAAAATTGCTATAAATGAAATGAGAAATGCGTGTTTTAACATATCCAGACCATTAGTAGCCCATCCTACTTGCTTATAGGATTAAGGATGCCCTTGCATTACTAAGACGCTTCCCTCCCTACAGTAATTTAGTAGTATTAGTTGTTCTGATCCTCTTAGTAGGAAGAACATCCAAAACAGAAGTAGGTAAAGCTTCCATACACGCCGCTAATGGTACTATGTATAAGCGTACAGGCTACGACTATAGTATTTCTAAAGCTATACAAGGCGATGCATCGTGCACTGAATAACTAAAATCTGTCTCTCTTAACGTTCTCTTGCTAAGGAAATAGCACCTTGTGATGCGTTGCACTACTATTGCGTGTCTCAAGCGGCTGATATAACTCTCATCAATGAGATCTAGGCGAGCGACAAACTGTCATCGGTCGACAACGAGGTTTTCCACGACCGATCCGATAAAGACACCGGACTTGTAAATTATCACTAATGCAGTGACTAAAACCTATGTCTTTGTCTCAATCAAGCAGATTGTGTCGCCGTATCGTTTAGTATTATGTCGGTTTCTAGATGGGCTCTGTATGGAACAAATACCACTGGTTTTCGTTGACGCTAAACCTGTTGGCCATTCTGATTTATGGACATTACTTGTGGGCAATCAAAAGAGTCAGTTTTAAAAAAGTCATTCTTATAATTAAACGTAAATTTCCTCTAGCGTTTGGATGGCATAAATCTCAATGGCGATGTAATTCTTACATATATAAACTTCTAAAAAAATTGCAAACGGTCAAGTTGACTGCTATGGGAAAGGTTGGTGTTCGTCGGCAAGGCATGAAAGCCACATTACAGCATTGCATCCCTTCACAAAGAAAGCGATCTGTATGCTTCGCCGATTACTTTGGAGGAATTATACCAGCAACTTCTTTGAAATAATGTGCATAGTAATATTCCCATCAATGCTGTATAAGAGGTACTTTTTGCGTCGTTAACAATTAGTTTTTATGATAGGTGATAAAATCAGTCTATGAAGAGCCCGCTCTATGGAAGTATATTACAACGACTTTGTGAATCTTTTAATTTATATTGTTTTGTGTTACACGCACAGACAATAAAACAACTGGAATGCTTTTCCTAACAACAGGAACAAAAGGAGATGACGTTGACAGACAAGCAATTTAAACAGAGCAGTGTCGAAGGTTACTAAAAGGAAAAGTAACTTCTTCGAACAAACTAGAGAGAAAGACTTTAGGATACCGCTATTGCGTTCTCCCGGCACTCAAATTCTTTTTTTCACGAGAACTCATACCACTAGCAAAAATCACCAAAAAAAAAAGGAAAAATCAGCCTGATAATATCAAGCGGACACCAATAATGTGCATGCCGAGTAACACATAGCCTGCACTTTCTGGGTGCTAACGATAGTTATGACGTACATATAGTCCGATCAGGCAATCCAAACAAAGTGAATGAAAAGAATAAAGGTTGGTATTTTAGAGGCATAGGAAACTCTACAAACGGCAAGACGAAGTCTCAAAATAGTAATTCGCGAGAGCAAGAACGAAAAATGAAAAAAAGTTCTGTTAAAATGTGAGAAACACGTATGAAATCTATACATGTTAATTTGAACTGACGCTGCCTCAGAAACTGATGGAAAGTACAGGGAGAGAGGTGTTTCCAAAATACCTAAACTGGACCTATCCAACGGAGAAAGCAAAGCTGGAAATATCCCGCGAACCACTCCAGAGGAGAGTAAAGCGATGAAAGAACTGCCAAAGCGCAAAGTTCTGGGATCCGACGGATCCCAGCAGAGGCAGTAAAGATTCTATTCAAGAAAAAACATGAGGTCTTCAAAGGCATATCACCTGAGTGAAGAGAGGTGACCCTGGTTCTCATTAAAAAATCATTTCCGCAAATTCTGAAACCCACCACACAGTAAAAAAAATCATATTTTTTTTCATAGATCATAGAAATTCTTTTAAATAGGAAATTCACAGCTGGCTAGAAAGGAAAGGCGCAATACATAATTCGAATTCTGAAAGCGCTCGAAACACGGGAATGACCATAACAAGAAAAAAGAGTGAAGTAGAAGGCCAAAAAAGTTATGCGTAATGAGTCTCCTCGACCTATCTAGTGTCTTCGACTCATTAAAACAGCGGAACTTCAAGCACCATGAGCACAAAGGGGGTCCCCCTGTTCTTGCAGCAACTAGTCGACTCATCTTAACAATAGATCAATCCAGTACGAGGACACAAGATTCGCGATGTTCTTCGATGCCCGTTTACAGAATATGCTCAAGGAAAAGGGGTAACACGCTCCACCTTGAATAAGTGTATAAGTAGAGGAACACAGCTTCCCTGTAAAAAAAATCCCTAATAATAAATGCAATAATTCCTGATTTTAAACCCTTTTTCACAACATGTATACCTTGTATGCGGGCTTCTCAAACTACATCCCGTTATCAATAATAAAAAAAAATATCAAAATTAAGATTACATATTTTTACTTGAAATCATAAAATATGAAAATATGAAGAAAAATGTTTTTATTTGAAATTATGAAATATGAAAATATGAAGAAAAATACGAATAATTTTTGTAATTAGTACAAAAGCTCTAAAAGTGTTAATAATTGGCTGGATTCCATAATATGGTAAGAATGACAAACCATCGTAGTTCATTAATGTTAGTAAGCTAGTAGTAATTATTATTATAGCAAGAGCGATTTTGAACACTGTCAAACAAACTGGGAAACTAAGAATTGTTTAGGTTTCGTCCCCAAAAAGAATAAGGCGATACTGCTCATCGGAAAAAAACGCTGCAGAGAAATCAACCTGTCACCGAACAGTGTGAACACTGAAGTGAAAAACTCTTCTCGGTACCTCAAAATTACTGCGGACAGACCTCTCCACGGAAAAAATTACAGAAAAAATATCACAAAGGAGAAAACACGCCCCCCCCCCCAGTAAACAAAAACTTCTGGGGTCGATAGGCGAATCTATCGTCATGAACGCGGACTACGCATAGAACCTGACCGCCATAAAACCCAAGCACAACGGGACAAATTCAAACGGCTCTAGAGCTAGAGGTATTCATATAAATATTATAGCTAAACCCAATAAAAACAGAAGTTTATACAACAGCTGCCTAGAGGACCCAGTTGCCTTGTTACTTCTTAACAACATACACCATAACAAGGGAGGAAAGATAAACCTGTCCGCATAGGAATAACGAGATGAAGTAATATTAAAATAGGTACCGACTCAAATCCGAATTTCATCGTATGGGTCTTTAAGTACAAACCTCAAAGGGAAGACATCGCACCCACCGACGACAAGCCAGGTTCATATAACAAGGCAACCAACGCTGGACCGTCAATTTTTTACTATGTCCGTTGGGCATGGTCAAGAGAATGGCCAAATGGAGGATCTCGAATAATTTCGAAAATTAGAGCGATTATTATTACATACGTATATAGATACCTATAGGTCAATATTTCACTCTTACAGACAGATTTTTCTGTCATCGGAGAAATTGACCCGAAGAAGTAAAAAAGTTAATAGTCCCCTTTTCCTTCAACGCAGTGTCGCTATAACCAGGACGTTCAGTCAGGGTACCAAACTGTGCCAGCTAACTTTCGCAAAACAAATTTTCAAGGTTCAAGTATTGGTGGCGAAAGAGAATAAAATAAAAATAAAAAAAAAGAAAGAGTGTAAATTATGCGAATGCACACTTGAAAAGAGAGAAGTTACCAGTAAACGACTACCAGACAAAAATCAGGTTTAGCAATAATATAGCGGCATACTCAAAACACTTAGAAAACGTATTAAAAGTAGTAAACAAGCTAAGTTAGAGAAATTATGTAAAGTCTTTAAGAACGCCTTATGGGGCCCTGGCTGTGAAGTAGCAAAGAGGAAACTACACCTATAAGCCCTGGTCCCGACTTTGCTATCAAAATGATCACCACAGTGTCCCTGCCAAGAAGAATTCCGAGAAACACCCTATATAGAAGGCTTATTCAGCTCGAGTGTTTGTATTCACTATTTCTCGTTACTACTGTATCAAAGAACTCTATATTGATAACATTTTCATAAGTAATTTGGAAAAGACACTAGTGGTTGACATTCTGAGGCGATAGTAAGATCTTCGACTGGCACCGACGGCAAAATATATGAGTCGATTTCTTGTCGTGCATGTAGATATAGTACCTATTTTAGGTAAGTGTCTTCTTCTAGTTCGAAAGTCACAAGCGGTATGACATCTTCAATGACATTTACCCTGCACGCCGCCATAATCACAGTCTTTTTAGGTTACATAGGCGTAATGTAGCTCTAAGAAAGAAAAAAAATGGGTGGGTTGATCGCGCTTTTTACGGAAAGTGCTTCCTTCCATTTCTTTCCCATTAGCGAGATGAAGTAACGGCTACTGCGAAAGACTATCCGTTCATAATTTGATCACGTATGAGAGCGACGAGTCGAAAAAGGAGCGTATAACAGGTGTTACCCTGCCCTTTTCCTAAATGTTACGGCATCTAACTTATTAAGGCTGACAGTTAGTCTCAATTGTGCTACTGCTGTGTGCAGTTTAAGCATGGTCTGCTGCTACAAAGGCTGGAAACCGCCAGTCATGCGCTTATAAGGTGACTTCGATACATTAAGCTATTTGTCCTTTGAGAGGGTTTCCTAAGTAGATTTAATATTAGAAGAGAGCCAAGTTGGATACTGCAGCAGGATAGAACCGCCTCTATGCCGTAGATTTTCATTTTGATCTTTTGTAGCATCACTGCGATCGGGTCGTGCCTTGCGAGCGTTGCTTGGGACACTCACATACACAGAAGTGTCCAAAATTTAATTTCTGCAAATAGCGTTGAAATCGGCAATGTTTTTTCAATGCGTTCTTAATATCGTCGATCAGCGTCCTGTTTTGTTTAAATTTTGCTTCTGTAATAATAATCATAATAACAAGACCTTGCAGTAACTCACCGTAGTTAGTCATTTTGCTGATATCCTCATTTGTACAGTGCGAGGGCACGCAAACACCGAGGCGCGAACCAAACTGCTGGATCCAATATGCATTTCGATAAAACCAATTCAGAATAGACTCACTGTCCTCAACGATTTCCGACGAGTTATAGGTTGGCCGTGGGAGATTTGGCGCTGCCGTTTTCACGTAGCAATACTTGCCCCTGTTATGAAGCAACAGAAACTTAATTTCATACCTTAGCTTGTTCGGATTAAACTCGTGTGCCTTTTGAAACGCTCATCATTTATAAGCTAAGTAAGCGAAAAAATAATTCTTATTCGAACATATCGTATTTTTATAACGTAGTCAGAGCTCTGCGGTCTTCGTATACACGGTGGTTTATAGTGTATACGTAGTTTGCGTTATTCTTATTATCTATTGCATCGTGCGCACCATCGAATACCTTTCTTATCACATGGAAGCCATTGTGATTGTATGAACAGAAGTCTGGTTATTTTGAATGCTCAATCATGTCTTGCATTGTTGTCATTTCTACGTTTCGATTCATTCGTTAGCTGCGGAACCTGAGCTTCTGGTAGAGATTAGAATGGATGTTTCTGTCCTTTTCTGCTCACTTTTCCTCGCTGGTCAGATCAAACAGAGACCAAGTCGTTGGCAGCATTAATGGTTGTTTATTGTCAATTAACTTGTAACCGTTCATGTCCTTTCAGCAATCCATAGAATGTCCTAGAAAATGTACACGCAGGTCTAGTATGTATAACTCGGTTTTTAGTCACATATAATTAGTATTTAAATTATTAAAAAAAAAAAAAAACACAACAAAATATATGGTTTTTCCTCCTATTAGAGATTTTCAAAAGGATTAGCGTTGTGGTCACTACGACGAAGGAGAGCTATTGATTCACAAACTTCGATAAGCGCTGCATTTTATATTGTAGCACAAGTGCAGCTTTTAAATATTGTGGGGTGAACTTTGTCTTTTATATTTTCGTACAAAAAAAGTTTATTAGCGTCAGGTCTGGAAAACGGTCTTATTTCCCTAACTCATCTAAGAAATTCTCATCAAAATATGTTTTTACGTGACGAACGTAGTGTGCAGGATCGGAAATTAAATTCGCCATTTCCACCCTTTTAAATGCGTCGAAAAACAAGTTTTTTTTTTTGTAAAATCAAGTAATTGGCATAATCATTGTACCGTCAATAAAAATGGTCTAATTAGTCCTTCGCTTGAAATGCTGTACTAAATGTAATCCCGGCAAAATGTACATAGCATTTTTACGTGACATGTAAATTTGCAGTTGCTTAACCATGCCATTTGATTTAAAAGCAACCCCATCGTTTTAAACAAAAACTGTGCATCTTCTTCACATTCTTCCGAGTACCATTCTAGGGTCCGGATCATCCTGACTCAGGGTACGTACCCTTGTCTGAATGTGACTTTTCCATTTGCAACGTCTTCCGACCGATGGACATCAGGCTTAGGATCTGATTGTCTTACAGGTATTAGGAATGTTTCGCCATAGCTTCCTTGTATTTTTCTTGGCAGGTGAAGCACATATATGTTATTAGTTCTCTGCTCATTGTTTATGAATATCCTGAACAGTTCCATTCAATTTCAAACTTATTGTTCATCCAGTTATTTGTGAGTCGCATAGGTGTACCTGCATGACACTCCCTGTAATATTGTCCTTCTACTTTTACTACACTCTCCTACATGCAACGCGTCTTTAAATTAATTTCCCTTATTAAATAATTCATTATTTTCAATTAATTGTACACTGAAACGAAAGAACAATCCAACTCGTTAAACAGCGTATCTTTTTTCGGTTCCAATACAATTTGTTCAACCTTCCAGAATACACATACTATTTCAGTACCTTTTATGAGTTTTCAGTTTTTTCAGTACCGGAAACGAGATGTCTGAGTGCCCTCATTCATTCACCAAGTTCATTAATAACATTCTTGCCTTAGCAGCTCACCGTTTAGCTACATGGGCTACTTGTCGTAGCTTATTTTTGTCTTGTACATATATACTTTGGTACCTTCCTCAATTTTTCGTCGTGTGATTATAACATTTTTTTTTTGCACGTCTTAACGTTACAGGTGACATCTTTGTTGGGGCTCATAGCGTTGGATTGTACATGCCGATTGTCGCTATTATTCATTTCTTAACAAATGCACCAAACTGTCGGGCCGTCAGTTATGCTGAAGTTGTAACCTTTCTTGCCGGCAATGTAATCTTAAATTTGTACCGCAGGCTTGCAAACTCCAGACCCTGCGTAGAAACTGTGTACCGTTGTTACGGCTTCGTTGGCCATGTGATATAGCGTGCATTGGGACCACTGTCGGTATCGCAGTCGAATCACAAGACGATTTATACCTACCATCGGAAAGAGTTTCTCATGCGTTGTAAAAGCTAATTTCTGGTAGGCATCGACATGAGCTATATGGAGTGGTCCTAAATTTGGCCTGTATCATAGTTTTGCGCCTCGCAATAGTACACACCCAAATCTGATAGTTCATTAAACTCTAAGGCCCATGCCTCCTATTGTTAGCCGGTTTTGACATAAATCTTCATCCACTCGTACTATTCAGAAATATGCTGTTCTATTTGGGCCAATAATATTTTTGCCAATTGTTGATATATCAATTTTTTCAGACTTTTACATCTTAAGCATATTTGTCATTGGCGATCTTGGTAATCTATCTAGTTGTTGTCCTCATCGGTGTTTGGTTAACACGCCTAGGTCCTGACAATTTCACCAGATGACTGTTGTAAATATAAATCTCCTTTACTATGTATTTATGTTAAGGACAAAGAGCCAGGTAGTGGTAACATTAACCAGGCGCACACAATCGATGCATGAGAGAAGAAAGCGGAAGTACTATCGTAGCTGCTGTGCGCTTGAACAGTTCTCTTGCGAAAGGGCATATTACTAATGCATCACACATACAATCTACAGATCGTTTCCCCAACTATGGTACAAGTCAACTTGTGTTATTACCTGAATCCACCATCGTCTTCATCGCCCACAGAAACGGCTAAACACTGCTCAAAATGCCCCAGGGTAGCTGCTGTTCCAGAAAAGAGCCCGTTGGGAAGCTTTCCCGATGCGTCCACCACTGAAATTAACAAGAGACACATTTGGTAATAATATTATAAACTAGGTAAAGTCTCGTTAGCGTTCAGCCCTGCATAACTGGAGGCGTGTATGATCAAATTTGATTAAAGTTCAAGAAGTTTGTTTTACATGGTGACTTTCCTCCAGGTAGTTATTGTACCATCGACTCACACCATCCATTATCACGCGTCTAATAACGTGCGTTATTTTTGCGAAACGTTTTTTTACCTTAGCCTCTCTGCTATCCCTCTATGTTTTGAGTTCTACGTCCGCTGTCGCCGTTAGGCATTCATTCCATCAGACGCCTGGTCCCACCACGGAACGAAGTGTGTCTTTTCCCGGATTCGAACCTAGACCACAACGTGTCCCTAATATTAGTAGGCAAATACGTTACCTACCAAGCATGCTAACCCTAACGATAATCATTTCGTCCTCCTATCGCTTTCATGCACTTCACTTTTTTCCTTTAGTTTCTGCGTATTTGGACGAATGTTTCCCGATTCCCAGTGTTACATGAATTCATTGCAGTTGTAGTGTCGTCTATCATTTTTTTTAAACAAAGGTATACAAGCCAGCAGATTATACGTATTTACGGAAAAATGGCCAAAGCATTTGCGGAACATGAAGAAAGCAATGAAAACGAGCGTAATGTACAGTCGCCGTTGAATACACGCTGGTAACTTTTTTCGGATCAAAGGGAACACAAACTCAACACTAAGGAAAACAAATTACTAATTTCGGCTTCCGCGTTAAACATTTTGGCGACAGCAGTGACGTACTATCATACGTTGCACACCAATATGCAGGACAAGACTCGACTACGAGTCTGACGCCAAGCGAATCTTTGGATGCGACTATTCTGCTATCAACTTCATTCCTGTAACCGTGTGGATCATATAAACGACCATCTGTTCTATCTTGAGAACAAATTTCAGTGTTGAGATGCGCACTATTTCGATCGTCGGTTGTTGAGCTTGTTGAACGACTGTGCCAATTTGTGAATCTGATATGGCCACCTTTTGACAACAATGTTTTTCGAGAGGTGCGATTAGGAGGCGAGATAGCCGAAAGAACGCTCGTCGACATCATCTTCGAATCGTTACCGGGCCTAGGCTGATGTTCAAAAAAGGATCATGCGCATGCGGTGAAACCGTGGACGGATTTTACCGATACGAATTATTGGCTTCTCGTAGTTCTTGAAGCACTTTTTACATATCCTTTAATTCTCTTCTGCGCATTCAATGCGACATGCCATTTGAAAGTTTTATGCACTGCTTCTATCGAAAAGAAATCGAAGGAATTCATTGAAAGAACCCTCCAAAGATGGACGATTGTCGTATGCACGACTAATAACGTTCAACGAAAGTTGTATCGGGGTGCCGCTGAGGGAAGCAATCGCTGAACGATACGAACTGAGGGAAAATCTTGGCTATTGCCAAGCAACATTTGTATGGTAAAATAGACCATGACTAGAAATGCCCTATTGCACTCACCAGAGTGATATGTGTAAGCGCCGGTTGCACTCGCATTTAAATGAACAGCATACACGTTCATTCTTCTATTTCGAATTGTCAGACCCTTAAGTCAGCCTAAGTATACAGGAGGACACGCTTGCAAGTGACCTCAGAGAAACTATAAAGAGCGTCTTTTAAACAAGGAGTGGCTTTCGAATCAGCGGGGAGGTAGAAATTATTCTGATTGCAAACAACGCCATAGATCAATCATAACAGTATTGCTTATAACAGTAATAATAATAATGATATAAAAATAAGATAATGCATATATGTGTTATATTTAAAAGACTGTATTGCTAGTTGGTAGATTAATTAGAAATTAAATATTCTGAACAGGTACTAAGGATAATTGGCTATTATAATATACATTAATGTCACTTTTTAAAATAATAAAAAAATGTGTTTAGAGGTAAATTCTGTGTCGGACAATTCTCTCCGAGTTGTGAATTTTTTCATTATTTAGAGACAATGTTGAAACGACATGCTATAATACTTACTATGAAGCGCCCATGTTTTCAGTGAACGCACGCCAAGTATCATTTTTAGCATAGCGGCCTGACATTCAGGGGAGATGTCCGCTTCACTTCCTGTGCGAATCAATCTAGGAAAAACAGGCTTAATAATTCGTTCTAAGGCGGACTTCATTGAATCCTCCTGCCTCGACCAAATCTCTTGAGCAACCTCAATGGAAGAATTTTCCGGCCATCCATTTTGATGAAAGGTGACATCTCCCGACCGAATTTTGTTGAAGTACGAAAACTAAAATGTTAAATAATAACCAAAAGTGTTAGCAAAAATGACAACCTAAAATTTTTATTGCGCTTAAATTATTAGAATGGGGCGCAAGCGACCTTTTAAAACCTCCTACCATTGCCAATCCGGTCAGCTTACGCTATTAATCGAAATAAAAGCGCAGGCTTCAGGTAAATAACAGCTTTGGCGTGATCCTTACAAAGAAATCGGGTTTTTTTAAAAGCTGGGCGGCTCGTTTACTTATGCCGTTAGTCTAGGAGACTCCGAAATATTTCTGATATATTGGTGCTATATTGTTACAGCCTCTATGTTTCGAGATTTACTTCCGGTATCGTCTCTAGGCATTCTATCAGACGGCTGGCTTTCAGCACGAAACGAAACTTGCCCACCTAAGGTTAGGTGGGCAAGTACCCTACCCACTGAGCGAGCACAAAGACCTAAAACTTAGCCTCTTCAACCTAAACGTTTTTTTAAGTGACTATGGCGAAGATCCTGAAAAAAGAATTCATATAATAATGGTACAGGTAACAATGAAATAACTGTTTGAATACTGACACTAATGTATCTAATTTTGCCAACAAACATTACACTTATTCTTGGGTTATCCCGGTATAGATTCAGACACCTCTCCTCTTAAAAGAACTTTAAGCGCTAATGCATTCCGGTGTTTTGTGAGAAAAGATCATTATTAGATCATACAAAATGTTACCATAAATTCGCATTAAATAAAACAAATAAATTAAGCAATAACATAGAGCTTACTCCAAACAAAAAAAAAATATCAAGAATTGGTATACCTGGGCTAGGATCTTCTATTGTAGATTCTCCGATCTAAGAATAGAAGTTGAATCTGTTTGGGAATTTTGCTATTGAACGATAATACTCACTGATCATTCTTTTGGACTTCGAACCTACCTACCTACTGTATTTTCATATATGACCCGCCATAATGTTATACAGAAAGTTGCAACTTTAAATAGCCCGCACTGATGGCTATTATACATTTTACACAGGTTATAAGTTCGAATCTAAACATTTGGATGAAAATGTTGTAAGGAAATCTGTCTGACGACAAAATATTTTTTTAAACAGCGACATCAGATTGTTAAAGGCCTGATTGTTGAAGGAGGAATGTCTCCAAAAAGAGCAAAATGGTGCCATACGCTCATCATCTGGAAGATCATATGTGAAGATCGAATGGTTAAGAAACCGAGCACGAATTTCTGGGCGTCTGCAGTAATGTTTAAGAGGCTCCAGAATCGGAAACTAAGAGGTACTCCAAGCTAGGATAAAGAGTTCTGCAAACCAGAGTTGGGAATGGCTACTGAATCCACCTTCTCTGACCGAGGTAATTTTCTTGTAGTACAGTTTTAGGCTGCTATTTACTTCTTCTATACAAAATTAGTTTCTACAAAGCTTGCATTACATGTATTGCAAAAGCGTATAGTGTTATCTGCTTTGGTGACTATGCAGAGCTACTATTTTTGGCCACCATTTTACTAGACTGCAAATATAATCCAGACGCAAAGAAGAGGTGGCATTAACTGCAGTGAGGAAGCGGTTAAAACATTGTATCCGTGTAGATTTTTCCTAACAACGAGGCTGACTTTCTACTACTACTAGCACTAACGCTAAGTGCAATTATACACTTGCACTTATCTTAAAGCAGTCATTAAATTCGTAAGCGTAAAGAAGTAATTTTTGGCAGAAGATAATCCAGACCATTTATTGCTATATCAAATATTTATATCGGTACGTTTTAATACATTCACATAATAATTTTATATGTCCGACTTGTACAAAATGCTTGAAAAAAATAAATGTAGTGCATTTAATAGTACATAGATGTGGTATGCTCGATTGACATAACGCACTCAATACTGGTTTCTGAAGTATACTTCAAATGAAGTAATTATGCACAAATGGTGGCAAGTCTTTATTAAAGATTTCGTGTCACAATGATAACCGCCACGACCTTGTTATGGCACTCCCGTAGTACATAACAACTAAATATTCAACTTATGACATTTATTCCGCTTAGTTAGACTGTCGACTTCTCGCTCTCCCTCTTTCCTCTCCCTTCCTGTATATACACATGTATATATTTAAAAAAAAGACACTAAAAAGCTTCGGAAAGATTTTCTGGGGCTCTTGTGTTTTTTTAATTACATTTTCAGGTATTGATGGTTTAATTAAACCGGAGATAAGTCTCGAGAGGTACTTGTCGTTTACTATAGTTGTCCGATGCTTCCTTGCGTTTGTGATCTATCCATTTGTTAGGAACCTAGTGGCAGAAGTTGCATCTTCTGTCTTATATCTTCCGTGATTCCGATTATTTAGATTATATTTATGGGTATTGGAGGTCATATTTTAGAGTTTTTATGATCTATTTTTTCCGACTTTTATGTGACGTTTGATGGTTCAATTTTGGGTGTCCTTTTTCAGTGTTTATTGTACAACAATGCACCCACCCGGCGAACAGATAGCTGCAAGGAGAGCCTGCTTTTAAGGGAGTAAATCACAAAGCTCATAGAAAATGCTTCCTTTCTTACTATCTAATTATCCATTGTCTGTGAAGGATGTCTGCAACAACTTATAGACAGCACCTCGCAGATTCGAAAACAAATAAGACATAAGCACCTTTAATTGTGCACCTTTTTCTAATGAAAAGACTCCTTCACAATCAATCGTCACCCGCCCCTGATCTTTTTTACGGCTTCCCTCGCGGTCGTGACTGAATGAAGTAACAAACATGCGACCCACCTGGAGGTCTCTCGAAGCAAATGGACTAACCTACCCAAACGAGATGTCCCGTTCGCCCGTTAGTCGCTTCGATGAAAAAGGCGTTTGATCCTTGACCTTGAACATGGCACCATGCTAAAAATAACAAGGCTTGTATTCCGTCTAAACTTGATATAAGTTAAATTTTCTGATCGTTTTGTGATTTCACAAGATGTTTGGCTTAAACATCCGACCCACGCTTTCTCTCTCTATCTTTCGCACACACATCTGATTTTTAGTCTAACCAGAAAAATACAGGATGATTATAATTCGATAACTCCGATTATATGATATGGCGATTTCACGGTTATACTTTACTGCTTCGACCAAATATCGTTTTTCCGTTTGCTAAGAAGGTCCATTTTAGACGATATGAATTCGTTTGCTTCGGCTAGGAGACATGTTTTTAGAAACTTTTTCTATTTTGGGTCGGTTCAGTAGTTTCGAACAAAAACATTTCATGATCCTAAAGAACTTATAATAATTCGGCTGGTGGGCGATGTATTTCTATTTAGTAAATTATAAACATGCGTCAATAATTCGCCAGTGCTTCATGGACAGGGCATCATACTTTTGAGGTGTTCTATGACAGTCCAAGCAGTCTCCTTTAGGGCAAAATTTGTAGCACAATATTAAGAAGTCAATAATATGTGTTAAATCCCTATTTTTGGGATTCTTTTAAATATACTTTGATAAATTATTTGACAAATTCTCAGCTGTTATCCGAAGCAACAATTTTAGAAAAACACATGTATACAATAGTCCACATATCGCAAATTAGCTTGTCGAGTCTTTCATCCATTAATTTATTAGTATTTATATACATATATTATTATTATTATATTATTATATAATTTAATAATTAAAATGAGTCAACAGTCATTAAAGGTAGAATTCTCTCCACGGTTCCACAAAACCAATATAGATTCTAGTCTGTACTTCAAAAGGTGTTTCTCAAAAATAGACAGTTCTTTTTGTTCTTAAACCACGTAAGTCCTTTAATTATAAGTTTTCGTCAAGTGATGGTATCCAACCTTAGTACCTTGACGGAAAACTTAGTTTGTCAACCTCAAAGTGATCAACGGATAAATCTTCATTCATTTGGTTTTGTAGTATTTTCAATACATACATTATTTTGTTCACTATTACATCGTCAAAAATTGAGAATCCATATTATAGGAATGCTAAGGTAGATTACAACTTGTTATCTCGTAAAAAACTAAAACAGTCGTTCTGTCTTCGTTTTCTAAACTAGGCCTTTTCTTTTGTTCCTATCCTCCTGGTGTCAAACTAAATTGACCTTAAAAAAAAACAGGAGTTTTGTCTACTTCTTCCGTTCCTTACTTACGTGGAAACTTCAATAGGGCATGAACACCTCCGTGCTCGGTTGTTTGTTCGTATCTGATCTCATAATTAAATTGTAAGACGTTATAAGCTGCTGTATTCGTATAATTTTATCCGGGGCGAAAGCTTAAATCAAGTGTTTCTAACGTGAATTTAGCTCCATATGTATAACCAAAGTAGTGAAAAGATCTATATCTTCTCATTTCTTTTTTAATTATCAGAGCTTTATCATATTAAAAGTATCGCCTTTTTTTTAATGTTTGCAGATAGAAGAATGGTCTATGTGATCTATCAAGATACTTGTCAGAGAACGGCTGATATGGTATAGGGGGTGCGTCAGTCGTTAGGACTAGCGATTTAATAGAACCGAATGGCGCGACTGTCTGTTCAGAGGTGGTTACATTTCCAAAATACTTCTGCACATTGAGTTGTTCAGTTGAAGATCTTTTTTTATTTTTATGGGTTCGCAAAATGGCCCGGAGAGATGTGCCAGATTTTGCGCGAACGGTGAATTAAATCATACGACCTCTGGAAATCATCTGAGCTCATACTTATATATATATATATATATATATATATATATATGTATGTATACATATATATGTGTGAGTGCTAAACATTTCACTATATCGCAAATCTTTAAAATACCTTTTTCATCAATTTAAATTCACAAAATCGTGCAGTTATTTGCGTAACTGTGCACGTTTTTTATTCATTTGCGGGCCATTGTCGTCTAGTGTCTTTGAAACTCGCTCCAATCTATGTAGATGTTCTCACTATAAACTACTCGCCGCAAGAATATACTATTAGCCGATTACTTCTGTAATCTTCTGAAAACTCTATCGATAGTCCTTTTCCAATTGCACGCAGAGCCTGCACAATGTACCCGAGGGTGTTTATCACAGAATATTTACGGCACTCTTCTTCTACTGGCTGATGCATACAGGCTGGCCTCAAATCTAGTTCGATGAAGAATTTGTATCTTTCAACCTTATCCCTAATTTCTTTTGAATCCTAGCCAATGAGTGTGCATGTGCTGGCTTAAACCGGCCCTGAAGTCTGCAAATTTTCTCCCGGTAGGGTTGAATTGCTCTGAAGTTACAATAGTAAAGGAAAATCAATCGAATAATGTTCTAATACTAATTCTCGTTGGCTTTAAGCAAAAGCCATTATGCGACCGATGCTGGTAGAGAAAAATCTGATTTAAGACAGGCACGGCAATAAGCAAATGCGACCGTCTGTGTGGATTTACGGCGGCTTTCCGGCATGCGTTTAACAGTATGCGTTCAGATGTGTTACTAACAACAGATTTAACAACATAATAAATAAATAAACCATTTTAAAACTCCTTCCAATAATTTGATAATTTGATTGATGGCAACTCAAAGTGTACCGCTAGTGTTGAACAATCTTTCCGATTACAGTACATTTCAATAGCTCGTAAATTCACCAGTGTAGTTAGAAAGTACGAGGAGCCCTAAGGTTTTTTTGCTTGTGCAATGCAAACAAGACCTCCCTGAATGCCGAAAAAAATCCGGTGCACACAGAAATCCTCCTATCCGTACAAAGGGTCGCGTAAATATGTTAGATCGTTAGTACCAGATTGTAAACCGTAACTTTTTTTTTGTACGCGCTATTATTATGTATAAACCTCCTGCTATTTGGACGGTAAACTGTGAGTTCCGTTGCTATAAAAGTTTAAGGTGCAAGAGTCAAAAGGTAACTTGTTATAATTTTTTGAAAAAATTGTAACTTGAAAGCAAAGTCTGCTGAAAAAATGCATAAATTTCCGCTCTCGCAATGTTGCCACCGTAATTATTTTTTCCTGAGGTTAGGTTTGTCGCAATAGGAGTGGTTTACTTTCGTTGGTTGTCTAACTCGTACGTTGTTTATCGTCGTCGCAAATTGTGGATAATACATCTTATACGTAACCGACCAATCAGGACCCCGCTAAACTAAATAACGCTTGCAGGAGACGGCCGCTAAAGACCATAAACTGTTACAGTTATAAAGTTTGCTAGCGTGATGTACCGCGGGTGATCCACCTGGTAATGCGACGCATTTATTACAAAAAATCGATTTTTGCCGCAAATTAACTCCAATGCAAGAATGAGTTACCGTTATACTGAGATCAACGAGAGAGAAGCTTTTCTGTCTTCGTTTTTGATCGCCACTGAAATCACGTGACACCCGTTTGTTCTTTTCGTTTTGCCTTATTAAGTTAACCAATGTAAACAAGCTTGACACATTTACATCCACTAAACCTAAGTTCTAACACCGTAAGCATTGAGATAAATCATCATATCTCTGAACACTTCGTTATTCACCAAATCCCAGCTTAGACGGTATTTTGCGGGCATCATCGGACGGGACTAATTTCGAAATTCCAAATTGCCTTTCTGGAATTTTTAGACTAGTGGCGAGAGGCGCATCTTGTTTTAGATCCTTTACTAAATAGGAGGTCTGTATTGTATACGCTGCTATAATTTCAAGATTCAGATTTTTCTCTGTTTACCATAGAAGCCTAATTGACCATACCCGATTAAGCGGTATCCTATTCCGAATAGTGGAATTGCGTTCATATTGAAATGTAACACCGTTATAAAGTAGCACCACTTTGAAATGTGAAATTAACGTTTTCTATACTGGACGACCTAGTGATAGCAGCACAAATTCCGTTAAGAAAACTTGGCGCTGCCTCGAAAGATATTCTTTTATGATTCTACTGCCATATTGTATCAGTGTATTATAGTATTTAAACCGCGATTTGACTCAACCTAATATATTGCTAGATTGCAAACCGCCGCTTCCATAGGCCGGGTCGTGGTTCTGTTGAGATCTTGTCGCATTAATTCTGTTATACTGCGACAATTATAAAGATTGTGGTCAATAGTGGTTGGCTATCCTTGAGTTGATGTTTTATGTTGTATGGTGCGATTAATCCGCTAATGCACCCCATGTGTTCTGTTACATTCAGAAGTTCACTGAACTTAAAATTTGTAGCAGGTGCTGCTACCACAACGACAATCTGACACATTAGGTTCCATTCCCGATTTCCCATTGGGACTTTCTTATTATCTCGATACCTCTCAGCATTTATTTCATTTTAATGAATAATATTTTTCGGGGATGTAGGGGTATTGGCCAGATACCTTTGGCATAAGTAGTTTAAACTATATCAATAATTTCGGAAATAAATAAAATTAGGCTAATTGGGGCAAGAAATTACATCCCCGGAAAAATATATCTACGCATTTGAACAATGTCAACCTTGACGATTCATATTTCATCAATTCCTAACAATTTTGGGATAAATAACCATTTTAACGCTGAATAATAGCAACACAAAACCCCACATTTACTTTTGCGCCCATTGTGTAGAGCTTGAAAAGACGAACCATTTCCCAATATAGATGCTTCATAAATTGTCAATAAGTTATCGATTAAGTTAAACTAACACTAGGCTCCATCGAAAGACATTCCCCTCAAAGAAAAAATACGCATCCAATCAAGCAACATAAGGACAGGTTCGATTTCATCAATTTGTTCGCAAATTATCGTTAGGTCATAAGAGAAAAAATCTGCTCCCCGTAGGAAGGGTTCGCACATTGAGAGAAGTGAACAGAGCTGGTTCATGTTATATCATTCATGAAAAACTTGTAAAAAAGAATGCTGATGCGATCGGTATTTCAGTAGATTTTAATTAATAGTTGTTCAAGTCAAATAGGCGCTGACCATAGTCGTAGAATATA